AACCCCTAAACCCTAAACCCGGGTTCTTCTGTCAATTGAGACTCCTAAGAATCTTTTGGGGCCTCCAGGGCCTTTGATCCTTAGCCTTAGTCCAATGCCGGAGTGCGAATTGGAGCTTGCCTGGCTCCAGGGCTTTCGGGCGCAGCAGGGTTTCGAGCATTTGTGGTTTAGAGCCTAACCAAGTCAAATCTGAATTCCGGTGTTTAGCTTCGATTCGGAGGCACCGGTCGCCTTGTGCCGTTCTCTGCGAGCAGCTCTGAGCCTCTCGTTGTACAACCTAGCCAAGTCCAAGCCTCTGACCCCCGCTGGCTTCCTGACCCCTGAACCCAAAACCCTCAAACCCTAAACCCTCCAACGCTCAGACCCTAAACCTTGAGCCCTAAACCCTCAAAAGCTCTCAAACTTCCGAGTGCCAAAGCCCAGGGCCTTGTCGTGTCCCCTAGCTTGCCTTTCCTGCGGCCATGATGGTGCTCCGTGGCGTGGCCGCCCTCTCCCTGGTTCTGGCCGGAGCCGGGGAGGGCCCCATCGAGGAGCTCATTGAGGTGGGCTTTTAGGGATTTAGGGTGTCGGGTTTAGGGATTTAGGGTGTAGGGTTTAGGGTTTCCGGTTTAGGGTTACGGTTTAAGGGCTTGTTGGGCCTCAAGCTTCAGGTTAGGGTTCCGGGCCTGTATTGGGTTTAGGATCTAGGCTTGAGGTTGGGATGTCGGGCTTTACAGTCAGGGGATTACGGTTCACAACATCATGCCATTGAAATGTGTGACCACACACATTACCTATAACCAATGAAATCATATTATCATATTGCGGGGGTTGGACATGGTGGGATGGACTAGAAAAGGTAATTAGCATGAGCGGAAAGGGAGATCGAAATCTAATGGGAGGTGTGCGCAACTATGTTATATAATTATACTTTAGATGTAGATATGGCATCGTCATGCATTGAAGACATACGGTTGCACAGAGTACAGATTTCGGACGGCATATGCTGGAGCCTGCGCCAATATGGGCCCAGCAGTTTTTGATGGTGCACGACACTATGATGTCGCACACCATGCATATCATCACATGCCAGACAATGACGATGTGATGTGCATCGAAGTTACAGTAGGTGTCATGTGCGGCGATTTGAAGCTTTGCATCATGTGTTCCGTGGGCTACGACGGGCTGCTATGGGCTGCGAGATGTCCCATACTTGCTCCTTACACCCCAAACCCCTCAACTCTAAACTCGATCACCCCACAGCCTTGACTCCCAACCCGTAAGCCGTGCT